GGACTCAGTAAGATAATAAGCTTCTGGATCAAGACTTATTGGATCCAGGACACAGCTTAAACATCTTTGTCACGCTGGTCTTTTGTCAGGAGAGTCAGCGGAGCCTTTCAGGATCCATCGATTTCATCGAGAGGCGACAAATAGGCTGAGTTCTCCGAGAGAGCTGAGCAGACAACATGGCCACGGTGTAGGATTGTGGGATAGAGCAAACGCTCCTCACACACCCTATCAACAAGTACTGTAAGTCATTTGGCCCAGTACATGACGGAGATTCAATCTCGAATTAATCATTATGACCGATTTAGGAAGGTTAACCTACTGTACCGGTAAAAAAGTAGACAAGTTAGCATTATAGCAGCTTTTGTAGTAAGTGTTTGGTGACACAAGATGATAAGAAGGTTGTTGCACGTTTTACAAACGTTCATTGTAAAAAATGAAGGCAGATCTGGACTGCAGGCAGACCAGTCAAGCACACACACTTCCTGTTTGTAAAAAAAACAACTTTTTTTTTTTTTTTACAATTTAATTATAAAAGGACCTTTCTGGTGAAAAAAAAAAAGATCCTAAATTGGCTACAAATACTAATCTAACAATCTGGAAAGATTCCTAACGATCATTAATGGTTTATCCTCTGGGACAGAAGATGAAAGGGAAGTTTATAATGACTTCCTGCTATAACAAGAACATATATTGAGGCATCTGCAGCTTTTTAAACAACATGGTAGCGGCCCTATTACTTCCACTTTATGTACAGTACACAGCACATTATTATCTCCCTCGTCAGCCCTTTTTATCCACACCAGAGACTCTTAGCTTCAACACACTCTCGCATTTACACAATTAATGTAAACATTATGTCCTGTGCTTAAAGGTAGTTTAGAGCCAAAAGCAGCGCTTGTATCCAAAGAATGATTTAACCCTCCTCCTTCCGGTGCTGGTCGTGTATGTCTGGGACGGCCCAGTGACACTAACCTGGGTATAAATATAAATCAACTCCTGGCCCATAATTCAACTGGGAGTTTATCTCTGCCTGTAGCAAAACACCGCGGCTGCCACTGTACCCTTATAGATTCAGCCCAATTAACGTCACGCCAACCTCCTACAGTATTTCCGTGTATTGCAACATCCATTCAACCACGTCACTGTAAGACTGAGCAGGGACACGCTAAACATCCAGGTACCTTTAACCAGCTTTGTATTGCATAACATGATTGACACAGAGGTCTTAAAATGGCCTGTGTCCGATAGGATTCTCGTTGGATTCTTTTGGATATAGTACCTAGAAGTATCACAGAGTTGCTGTAATCCTTGCCCAGTACGCAGACTGGTGACGGGCATGTACTACAAGTGAAATGTACCACGTGTCATCGACATTTAAATGATTTTGACGCTACATTTACATGAACACTAAATTATGGAGAGATCAAAAATCCAAAACATCTATCATCCCACAGTAATGTTACCAACGACACGGGCCATCTGTACCTCAGCTCCTAATAGTAGCAGCACAACCCAAACTCACAGCTCAGCTATAATTGCTCTGACGGAGTTCACTGTGGGTGTGTGACATGCCGCCCAAGATTCACCACATCCCTACTAACGCTCCCAAAGCAATTTAACAATAACGTGTAAACTCAAACGTCCACCACCAACCATCCAATTCCGATTGAGACACCCGGAGGAACACGGACACTCCCGGGTGACAACGTTTGACATGGTGTTTTTTTTTTTTTTTTGTCACCCGCCCTCATCTTAGCGTCACCTGCTAACACTGCCCTCCCTGCCCGGGTCCAAATTAGTGTCCAACCAACAAGTCCACACACGTCTTTCAGCGTTTGGAGTTCTCACACACCTACATGACATTGAAGCAACTCTGAAGAATCACCAGGAGGTAAAGGGTGGTTTACTGGAGGAATCTCTGGACTGGATATACTGGATATAATTCCTGGGATTTCCTTTGAAGAACATGGATAACTACTTTTTGAGAGGATTTATTATAGTTTTGTTCATGCAATACTGCACTTCAAAAGGTATGGTGATATTATATAAATGGATTTGCTGTGTGAGATTGAGTAAACAAATCACTTGTATTTGTGGCAGTGTGCAATGAACATCTGATGGCTGCGCGGCCACACTCCGCTGAGTCTTCTATTGTAAAGAGTGTGCGGAAATTGATGGAGCAGAGAAATTCACAAGAACTCATTCATGCATTAATGACAACATTATTTAACGTTAGGTCAATGAATGTCGTTGTTTCGTTTCACTGGTGATTTATAAGCATGGTTGATGACGATTCTTGTGATTGCCCCTTTAATGGTTAATCTTTTATCAGCAGCCTAATTGACTAGCAATTTATGTAACAATTGTCTGGTAACACTGCGCTCACAATGTATTATATCCAGATCTGTCCACATCGATCCACTCCACTATGGAGGTCTCTCACCACGGCCAGACCCTGTCTGAGGAATCAGAGCCGATGTCCGCAGAGACGGCACCGGTGGTGGCCCCGCCAAGCCTGCAAGAGGTGCAGAAAGCCGTACAGGAGGCTTCAGAGCAAGTAGAAGGTCGAGGGGCAGAGGAAGTGTTGAAGGAGCTGCTGGAGAGGGTGGTAGAGGCAGCTCTGGGGCAGGTGGAGAGTGAAGAGAAGGCAGGTGAAGGAGCAGTTCAGGAGGCGGTCGGAGAAGATACACAGTGGACTGAACAGGGAGAAGCTACACCTGACACAGACGAGCAAGGAGCAGAGGAAGGGTTGGAGACGGAAGGCATAACTAAGGTCGACGAAGAGGACAAGGTAGCTGTGGCGGATGCATTTGAAGACGTAGCTGAGGAGGGAAAAGGAATTAACCAGGAAGAGGGAAAAACAGCAGCTGGATCTGTGGAGGAGGCCGCAGTAGGTGCAGAAGCTGGAAACAGAGAAGCAGATGGAGTGGGGGTTATAAGTGAGTCTCCAGACACTCAAGTCAGTGAGGGGGCTGCCGAGGCAACATTATCAGCTTTAGAAGAGACAGCAGTGAAGGCAGCAGGGACGGAGGACAGCAATAAGCAGGATGTGCTGTCAAAGGAAGCAGCCGAAACAGGAACACAGGACACAGTGGAAACTCAAGCTACTGTGGAGGTGGAGACACAGAAGGAGACTGTGGAAGTGTCTGACCCCAGTCTGCCCAGCTCTGATGTGGAACAGTTAACAGAGAAACCTGGGTTATTTCCACTGGAGGGAAAAATCCCGGTAGATGAATTAGAAAGTGCAATGACAGCATTTCCTTCTGATAATTCTGAGGCAGAAACCTCACAAAGTGTAGCTGGAGAGCAGGTGCAGGAGGTGGAAGATGTGTTGAAGGACACTAAAGAGCCAGAAGTAGAGGACGAACAAGGACTGTTAGCTGTGGAGGAAGCAGCCGCGGAAGACGCAGAAGCAGAGGTCGCAGATTCTGAGGCAGAAACCTCACAAAGTGTAGCTGGAGAGCAGGTGCAGGAGGTGGAAGATGTGTTGAAGGACACTAAAGAGCCAGAAGTAGAGGACGAACAAGGACTGTTAGCTGTGGAGGAAGCAGCCGCGGAAGACGCAGAAGCAGAGGTCGCAGGAGTGGGGGTGGCAGTGGGAGGTGGAGACGGAGAGGGTGGAAAAAAGGAGGAGTCGGCGACGCTGGGGCATGAGAGGGCTGAAGAACAAGTAGAAGAGGAGCAGATGAAGCTGGAGACGTCACATGACGGTGAGGCAGACAACATAACAACAGTTATAAAACAGCACATCCTCTTTGGATGAACGTGTTCATGTCTGTTCAACTCATATCCATCTGTGTCTTGTTCATCCAAATATAACTGATCACAATGACACCTCACAAACCTGTCTTTAAACACCCATCAGACTCAGCAGCTTTGATGCACCCTGATTCACAGTAAGTGTCAAACACGTTTAGACACAGAGCTGTAATGAATCCATATGTTAGCTCTACTCTTCACAAAGAGGCAAACCATGCTGTAAACTCTACTTATCCTTCCATTTATTAGTCTAAGCAACAACACCAGCAGACAGGATTCTACATCCCATACATCTACCCCTACTCTATGTCCAGTCCTTGAAACATCATTAACCATTTTTCTTCTCCAGAACCACTGGTGATCTCTGCCCCACAGCCTGAAGATGTCAGCGAGGTGACAGAGCAGAGCCTCGGGAACCAAGCACCGACCCCCGGCCCCTCCCCGGGTGCATCTGAAATGGAGGAGAATTCTAACCACGTCAACGAGATCCTCACACCCAACGACGACCTTTCACAACACAACCCAGCCATGGCTCAGCCCACGCTGGACAACGTGGTGAAGGTTGTCATAGCTGAGGTCCCTCAGACAGAAGGCGAGCAACACGGAGAGGCCGATGAGTTGGTGGAAGATACCACAGCAAATACAGGTAAAAATATGATATTAAAAAAGTCTTCATATGTACTTCACAGGTAAAAATATGATATTAAAAAAGTGTCGAAAGGAAATTGTACTTTATATGTACTTCATATGTGTGTTCTCTGTGTTCTCATTGCATTCTGTGAATGAGTCCGAGTTTATTCTGACAGATTTTCATCTCTGAGTTGTTGGAGTAAAAATGAACAAACAGCTCACGGTGGTGACTAAGATGGAAAAAAAAAAAAAGTAGCATGCAGATGGTTAAATGGACGCTGTTCCATTCATTCAAATAAGCAGTGACAACCACACAGAGTGGACAATGTAGTTGTCTTACAGTGTGTGTTTTACTGCATTGAAAAAGTGATTCATTGATACCTGTTACAGATGTCACTCATATTAAAGGCATTTCCTTAAAGTTAAATTTTAATTTTAATTTGTTACATGTCTTAGTGAGTATCAGTCCACAGAGACCAGACCTTAGAGCTTTTTAAATATATTCTGTATATCTGTATATACGCAGCGGTGCGTTCACTGCTTTATTTCATCAACTCTTTTTAGAGACAAGGGAGCTGGGCCTGGAGGCGTGGAAGATTGGGGCCATTTTCGCTGGAGTCCTCCTGGTTCTGGAGACCGCTGTCATCGTTATCTACATCCTCAAATGTCGAGAGAGAAACAGGTAGGTTGTACATTTGTGAGGAATTCAAAACAGTCGATCATAAACTGCTGCGGTTTATGATCAAAATGAGCAGAAGTGGATTTCAGGTTGTACATTTGTGAGGAATTCAAAAGAAGTAGATTTTGTTTGTATTGACTTCACATCAAGTCTTTAGGTGATGATTATTATTATTATTCTCTGTTGTTTGGCGTCTGCTGTCGTATTTTGTGAAGCCTGAGCCACATTCCACGTCCAAAAGCTTCTTCTCACCAAAATAGATTTTTCACTAAAGCTCTTCTGACTGGAAGCACGAGCTAAAGTTCTGGCTCAATTATTTTGTGCGCAACAATCAAAATAACACTTCATTTGTGTTAGCAATCGTACCAACTACTGTCAGCGATTTGATTGGTCGCTATCGTACCAACAGATGGGACTTAAAACAGTGTTGGTACGTGACTGCCTCTGATGTTGCCCATGTTGCAGTTACATTTCTGCACTGATGGACGATGAGACACTGAAGCTGTGCACAGTCTTGGCTCAGTATTAATAAATGGGGAACGGTCTTTCATCAGCATCATGCAGTGGTAGTTTTTGTTATTTTCCATGCATGAGGAGCAGTGTTACATTTCAGCCACCGTATCTGTTATGTTTTGTCTGTTTCCTGTTTGTGTGTACGTTTAAACACAGCACTGCGGCGTCTCATCGGGGGTGTGAGGAAGGCTCCGTCGAACCAGAGGCGACTACGGGAGGGGACTGCAGTGACGACACACTGCCTGTAGGGAACGGAGACCCTCAACAGTACGTCCATGTTTTTAAATATCTATAGTGAAGGAGGAGATCTGTAGGTAAGTCAGTGAGATACTGTACAATGAATCAAACAGATGATGAACTGGAATGACATCACTTCCTGTGCAGAAGGTTTGTTGAAACCGAGTGATGAATCACATCCTCAGCTTACAAATTAAATTCATTAAACGGCATAAACGACAATTCACCAGCGGTATTTAATATTTCTCTACTTTTTCTAATTATTTTTCAACCTTGTCTGGAATTTAAAATGGGGTCGCCAGAAATGTCTTGCGATTGATTTAAAAAAAAAACTGATTAAATGTTTTCAATTAATTATTATTCTTTCTTAATTAACTGTTTATTTGCAACACTTTATAAAAAACATGATCAAAAACTAAATTCTAGAAAAATAAAAATGTCTGTGGAAATTTGAGATGTCTAAATGGGGTCACAAGTTAAAAAAGGTTGGAAAGCACTCAGAAAACGATTAAACGATTGAATGAGGGGTCACCAGAAATGTCTTGCGATTGATTTAAAAAAAAAAAAAAACTGATTAAATGTTTTCAATTAATTATTATTCTTTTTTAATTAACTGTTTATTTGCAACACATGATCAAAAACTAAATTCTAGAAAAATAAAAATGTCTGTGGAAATTTGAGATGTCTAAATGGGGTCACAAGCTAAAAAAGGTTGGAAAGCACTCAGAAAACGATTAAACGATTGAATGACGATTAAGTCACAAGCTAAAAAAGGTTGGAAAGCATTCAGAAAACGACAATGACGATTACAATTCGTAATTATAGAATAAAATATCTCGGTTTTGTAGCTAAAAATCAATCCAATGCAAAGAAAAACATATATATTACTATTTTTATAAATTACTGTGTTTTTTTATTATTTCTTTTTGGATTAGCGGTTACAGAAAATGAAATTGGTGTATTTCAAACTCATTTTTGATTAAATAAAAAACTGCCTGCTCTTTTCTCTTTCATTATTAAAATGTCAGACTTGCCATAATTAACTGTGATGCACTGACCTGAAAACTGTGCGGCTCAGAGCACTACCAGTTGTGTGCTTCTCAGCTGATTCCCCACCAGCTATTTTTATAAGTTATGTGCACAGGATGGTGCTCACTGCATCACATGAGCGCATGAGTCTTTTGAATCCAACGCATTATTGGGTAATACCAGTGAAATTCCTAATCAGACTAACAGGCTTACACCAGTAAGCCAGCGTGTACACGTGTGTACAGGTAGGTACTGGTGTATTTGGGTTGTATTGTTTGTAATGATTCCTACAGTATGTGCGCAGACACGTCATTAAAAAAACCACTCCATTATTAATTAACTAATAGCTGTACCTAAAACCCATCACTATTGTTTTTTTTTTCCTGTAAAATTTAGATTTTTAACATTAACACATTTAAACTACTAAAATGCCAGGCTCTAATTTGGGTTAACCCTACAGGTATATACTGTAATACTGATTAAGTGATTTTTACTTCATGGATGCATTTCAACATACATAAAGTTCCGAAGCTCCTTGGTTTGGCGTAACAAAAAATGACCTTAAGCAATGATGTAAAAGAGCGAGCAAAAACGAGCACAAAATAATTTTAAAAAGTAACACAAAAGAATTTTCAAAAATTAGCAGAAAAGCATTTTAAAAATGAGCACAATAGAATTTTCTTTTTTTTAAGGGCACAAAAACAGACCAAAATCAAATTATTTTTCACAGAATGAGGGCATTGTACTAAATTGTCAAGGATTATGTGTTACGTCTGACTACTACATACTGCAGACTCTAACATGACGTCCATCCTCTGTGTCAGGATACAAACGTTGGATCCATCTGAGGTGGTTTCATCGCTGGCCCAAAACAAAGAGCAGCCTGAAGAAAACCATGTGATACCGATGTCAGACCTGGCTGCAGACACCGGACACGGGCCGGACCCCACAGCAGACATCAGGACGTCCACTCTCTAACCGTTTATACTCATTAAATAAAGCCCAGAATGCCTCTATAACTACTAAACCTGGTCCCTGTCCCTGACCCCCGTCTACTAACCTTTACCAGTGAACCCTACACAACAACAACAACAACTGCCTCTGGACTCCCATTTTTAACAACAACAGTGTACAGTACATGCAACATGTTTTATTTTGGAGTGCCACTGTGTCTGAGTGAAACGCTACACGGGCGTCACCTGGACTGGGTGATAAAAATAAAGTGACGAAAATAATTATTAAAAAGCACATTTTAGATTGTGTTACATAATCAAATTCTACAGTTCAGTGTCTGTATGTATCAAAGGTGAATGTTGAGAAATGTTTTATACCGACCCATGAAAACTCATCAGGACACTTATCATTGGTGGCGTATGATTGGACTGAATTTAATTGGTCGACGCATCTGTGCTTAAAACTAAAATATCAGCCACACTGGTTTATATTTCACATAAATTTAATTGAAAATTTGGATTGAACTCCCGACCATTCAAAATATTTTGTGAACTGTGATACAATATTAAAATAACAATGAGAAATGTGTGATTTTGTTCTTTTGTTTTTTACTTTTCCTCCGCTGAGATAGGAATTACAGTTTTATAATTATAATAAAAAGAGATTTTACTTGACAGGTTATTAAAAAGACATTTTCTAAAAAATAATTGCAGGAAAAAAATGTAATGTTTCGTCTAAAAGTGTGTAAATTCACTTGAGTGTGTCAGGAGAGTAAACGCTGTCTCACAGTTGAGTCCTTCTGTGTGGACGACCATACAGACTTATGTTGTTATCATCACAGGGCATGTGAATAGAGAGCACTTCAGCCCTCGAGTGTGTGCTGGCCAACTGTGTGTGTGTGTGAGTGTGTGTGTACTGCATTTGTGTGGATGTAAGTCCTCTCACAAGCTCCAGAAAAATGGGATCATGCGCTCAGTAGCTATTTAAGCTGAGAGAGCGGCATCGAGCGCCTCTGTTGGGGGGGTACAGTTCATCAGAGAGAGAGAGGAGCAGCATGCAGAGTCAGAGGTAGGGCAACACACACCTCAGCTGCTTCACTAAAGTTCTACTAGGGCTTTAATATTACTTTCTTACTTTATCGACAATATCTCTGTAGATACTCTAATAGATCTATAGGTAAAATATTACAATGAAACTGCTGTAACTTTGGGTTTAATAAGAATAATACATTTCACCTCTCAAAACCACTGGCAATAACCCACAGTTCTTCTTTTCTTGTATCTTGTCTGGGCCTGTTGTTATGACAGCTAAAATAATTGCTCCTACGAAGCTCTGCAGTCGACAGGATTCATCTCCTAATCAACAACCTTCAGAATGAAAAGCTATACCAATTAAAAAGAGTTTAGGCCAATCAGCTCTGAGTGAACTATTGTGAAAATCGTCTTTTCTGAACTTGAGTGCTGAGATTTAATGGCTTTGTGAATTATGAATCGTCACTCCTACAGCTTTCAGTGCTGTGTTTAAAACAGGTCTGGAAAGAAAGCCAAGAAAACGAAGGAGAAAACAGAAACCCAAGTGTCTTTTCATTCAGCTGAGCTCTTTTCATAGCTGTAATTTTTTCATCTTCACAGAGAAATTAGTTTTCCTTCACCGTGTGATAGAAATCTAACTATTTTTAATGAAAAACAAACAAACATACGCCTCGAGCGCCACCTGCTGTAAGCCCTCACAAAAAAATAAATAAAACATGATTAGGCCTCAAAGGGTCACCAAACCACAATCTCTAAAATTCCCTAAACATGGTACTCTACCACGTTCCAGTACTTATTTTGCCATGATTTCTGTCTCCTGACAGCATGTGGAGAGCCGCTCTCCTAGTGATGACCCTCGGTGCCACCGTAACACTGGCCCAGTTTCCCCGGGAGTGTGTCACACCCGAGGGGCTGCGGAGTGGCCAGTGTTGCCCGTCACCCACCGGAGCGGCGGGGGACGAGTGTGGTTCCAGCGTGGGCAGGGGGCAGTGTGTGGCCATTGCTGCAGACAACCGACGTCATGGACCCCAGTACCCTTACGATGGTCGAGATGACAGAGAAAGATGGCCGCTGAGATTCTTCAATCGCACGTGCCAATGCAATGGGAATTTTACTGGCTACAACTGTGGTCGATGCCGACACGGGTTAACGGGATCGAACTGTGACCAGAGGGTGTCTGTGGGTAAGAGGGTGAAGAGTGGATGGAGAAATTTACGCTGTTTATTTTCACCCTTTGAGTTTCACTCAGCTTCAAATACATTTGAAAAAAACACAAATATTTCTCTCTTCTCACATGACTTCCTGTACTTTCGTAATTATTTCTTCAACTGTAGTGAGGAAGAACATCATGCTCATGAGCTCATCTGAGAAGCAGGCTTTTGTAAACGCGTTGGACCAGGCGAAGAGGACCATTCATCCTGACCTGCTCATCTGCACAAGACGGTACGATATCTCTGACCTTCTGTAAGTGCTTTATTAAAACGGAAACAAAACAGTGCTAACTTTGCTTTGTAAAGAGACTCAACAGAGAACAATGGCCTGCAGCCGCCCAGACTGGCTGAGCCTCAACATAGCAGAACTGACAGTCAGGGCTTATGAAAACACACCTGTATTGAGTTCAAAATCCAACTGTATAATCCTAACATTTTAATAGCAGCACTCAAAAATATGAATCCTATTTTTTGGCATACTTATAAAAATACTTCTTGGAAAATATTTCAAGTAAAAGCAAATCATTTTCTTTTCTTTAGAGTAAAATTACCTCCAGACTATGTTGAAATTGCAGGAGATGAATTTACTACATAAGAAATCCTCCTCTTCTGCATACAAATATAAGAACCCCAAAACCAGCAGTTATCTCAAAAGCACGTCATTTTACTACAGCCAATCAGAATATACACATTTTTAAATTAAACATACACAGGCCATAACGGAGGAATCGTGTGTCCGTCCCTGCTCAGGTACCAGGAGGTGTTGGGTCCTGATGGCAACAGCCCACAGTTTGAGAACATTACTATTTACAACTACTTTGTTTGGAGCCACTACTACTCTGTCAGCAAAACCTTCCTGGGCCCCGGCCAGAGCAGCTTTGGAGGTGTTGACTTCTCCCATGAGGGTCCAGGCTTTGTCACCTGGCACCGTTTTCATCTGCTACAACTTGAGAGAGACATGCAGGTGAGGACGAGGAGAAGAACCAACGAGAAAGGCTGAAAATGTAGAGAGACTGTGTGGCCCATAGAGTGACGAAAAAATTAAAAAAAAATCCCCCCCCCCCCCACCAAAAAAAAAAACTGACTTTTTTTGTTTCCCAACAATGTAGGACATGCTTGGCGACCCAACGTTCGCCCTGCCGTACTGGAACTTTGCCATTGGAGGCAGCGATTGTGACATCTGCACAGATGACCTGATGGGCGCCAGGAACAGTTTTGATGTGAACTCCATCAGCCCCAACTCCATATTCTCCCAGTGGAGGGTCATCTGTGAGAGTGTGGACGACTACGACTCTCTGGGCACGGTGTGCAACAGTAAGGACTGTTTCAAAACACTCTCATTTTAAACTTTTCTTTTTGCATGTGCGTGTGTGTGTGTGTGTCTATATACAGTATGCATAGACACACACACACAGCTGCAAAAAAGAGAACAGAGAGCAGAGACCAGGTAAGGAGAACATGTAGAACATGATGATACTATAAATAAAAGCCACCAGCTGTTGTGCTACTTTAGGTATTCTTTTCAAATACTGCACTTGGTTTTAACGTTCCCTCTTATACTTCAGATTAGGGCTGCGTGAACAATTCAAATATTCAATCTGATAAATCACTGGGTATCTGTACATTAATCATGATTAATCATTATTGCAATCAATCATGATTCATCTAGATTCACATTCTAAATTACATGTGCCAAACTCAAGGCTCGGGGGCCAGATGTGGTCCGCCAAGTCATTCTGTATGAGTCTGACACCCCCTGTTCTTAATCTACGCTCCAAACATGACAACAACAACAAAGGNTATATATATACATATATATATAGGACAAATAAGAGAGTTGATTTTTGTCAATACAGTCCACTTAATGATACGTGTTTTGGTGAATCTTTTTTCCTCAATTCCTCGATTACTATTCAGTCTACTATCCCTTACAACTACCGTGTCATTCAGCCTGTTCTGAGCTCGGCAAGACCTAAGTCTGACATCAGCTGATCAGATTTGATGGTTTCTTTGATCTTCTCCTGTTCGTTCCACATAGGAAAATCATCGCGTGAATTGGAGGAAAAAATACAAAATTCCAAACTGATCTCAATGCATTTCACGACTACAAAAAGCAAACCTTTCAGAACAGGTAGATTTGTACTAAACAAAAAAAACTCGGTAAGGGGTAAAAACACGTGAGCAGCCAACATGTGAGGGTATCTGCCTCATTAATCTCCTTATGGAGTCATGAAGAGCCCAGTATTTCATGTGTCAACACAAACACTTTCTTAAATGGGTTGAGGGGCGGGAGACGCCTGATTTGAGCACGTGCTCCTTATAAACAAGAGGATCCTGCAGTCGACTGCTTCTTTTGATCTGAGGGGTCTTTAAGCAGACAGACAGCTCAGTTATGTCGTCTCGTGTGCAGGAGACATCGCAAATGAGAAGTGAAATGAAAATAAAAGGATTTCATCATTGAGCTCCGACTCATTAATGTTGACTTTTGGTGAAGAGGATGAAAAAGAAAATTCCATCCTGCCATGTCCGTGTGATCAAACTACTGCTCTCCAACGAACCATTAAAACAGGTTTCAGAAGGCAACGTTTCTAAATCTTTACAGTACACTGTGAGGACCACTGACAAGAACACAATTAAAGCTTCTCACTAATGAAAATAAATACCCGACCGTAACAATTGTTACTCGTCTCTTCAGGTACATTAGCGTGGTGTGTGTTTGTCCTCATTACACAGATACAGAAACCAGTCCCATCAGGAGAAACCCAGCGGGAAATGTAGCTCGACCCATGGTACAGAGACTGCCAGAGCCCCAGGACGTGTTGGACTGTCTGCAGCTCAATGCCTTCGACACACCACCTTATTACTCCACCTCCTCAGAGAGCTTCAGGAACACTATTGAGGGTAAGATGTTGTGCTTCAAAGCAAGGAAGGGCAGCACATTAGACCAATCAGACGGAGGCTGAGGCTGAGGCTCTGCGTCTCAGCTCACACTCTAGAGCTGCTACAAAGCAAAAAATAAATAAATGAAAAATAAATCAGCCAGAAATATACACTCACACACACACGAACTAGATCCTCCACCAACTTGCACATATGGTTATCTCCAACACAGCATTTGTTGTTCCTAATTTTGGAAGCGAACAGCCTTTATTTCTTGGACTTTTATCTCCCGTCTCTTCTAGGCTACAGCGCCCCGCAGGGGACGTACGACCCGGTGGTCCGCAGCCTCCATAACTTGGCGCACCTCTTTCTCAACGGAACCGGGGGTCAGACACATCTCTCCCCTAATGACCCCATCTTTGTCCTGCTGCACACCTTCACCGATGCCATCTTCGACGAGTGGCTTCGCAGACACCAACCAGGTAAACCAGAACCAAAACCAAAACACCGGACGAGAAACAGAGCGGAAACGTAACTCCGTATGAGAAGATGAATAACAGGTTGAACACATTATTGCTCATCTCGCAGGTGAAGTGGTGTACCCTGAGGAGAACGCCCCTATTGGGCACAACCGGATGTTCAACATGGTTCCTTTCTGGCCGCCTGTCACCAATGCTGAGATGTTTGTTTCTGCCCCAGAAAATTTGGGTTACTCCTATGAGGTGCAGTGGCCAGGTGGGTGAGAGCACGTGGGCATTCAGTACAAGAATGCACACACACACACACACAGAGAGAGAGTTTGCACAGCCATTTTTGGAAGAACTGTGCATCGATAATTAATGAATGCCAGACTCGTGGACATTTTTATTCCAACCTTAACCACAGCCTCTAAATTAGGTTCTGTCTAATGACAACATTTCTGTATAGATTTTGGTCTACCTCAGTACTATCCGTCTGAGTCATGTTTGTTAAACTGGCTAAAAGCCGCACAAAGGCGCCAGGGCGATCGGTTGCCAGGCGATAAAGAGCCTCATATAGAAACAAACAAATCTGTTTTTATACCACTCTAATTCACAGCAATTCATCAAATCTTCTTCTGCAAATTATTTTTTCCATGTTAGAAGAAACCAAGCAGAGAGAACGTTAAATTCCACAATAAAGCAGCCATCTGTCTAAACACAAACTCGAGTGGTTCTAAAAGTGTGGGGCAGACCCCAAAGGAGCAAGGAGACGAATTAATTCCTCTTTAATTTTTTTTGTGACAAGGTTGGGCATGTGCACGTATTTTAAATGTTATTTCTTATGATCAACAATAACAGCAGTTGTGAAGGAATTGAAGTTCAGTGGATTTTTGATGTAACAATACTTCCCTCCACAAAAGGGGGCGCTGCAGAAAGAGTTTGGGGAACCACTGCTGAAAGGCATTTGTTTTAACTGTCAACCCCCCTTAAAAAAAACTTGACTTTTTTCTTCCACAGCTCGTGCATATACCGTGTCTGAGATCATCACCATAGCTATTGTTGCTGCAGTACTGGTGGTGGCAGTAGTGGGCGGCGTCATTGCCTGTGCTGTGCGCGCCCACTCCTACAGATCAGCTGAGGGTTTGGAGCCTCTGCTGGGAGAAACATTCAGAAGGTACTCAGAGGATGACCGAAGATTTGCCAAATCCCAGTCTGATGTCTAAACACGTCTTCAACATTTTCATGCTTTTATTTTCTTTCTTTTTTCTAAAGCTGATGACTTATAATAAAAAATTAAACTGTTAAAAAATAGACTCAATGTCAATATAACTGATGTTCATACTGAGTGTGGTGAAGAAAGATTAACTGGGCGACCTTCAAAAGTGAACAGATTGGATTTGATTCTCCGGAAAAGTCTCCGTACTAGATGAGATTTTAAATACAGTAAATATGTCAACGTTGACGTTGAGCAACACAAGTGGACACTAGAGTGATCACACGAGATGAGCCTGGTCGCACTCAACCTCTGTGAATAAACGGTTTCAAAACAATCATAGAATCACTTTGACGTAGAGGAGATCAAACTACATTTCAGTCTGAACAGAAACAAACGTCTCTTATACACAGATGTGTTGGAAACATGAGAACTGGACATGAAATCTAAAACCTGGAGATAAGAATGAAGGTTACATGATTTCCGCTAAAATAAATGCTGTATATTTAAATGTACCATAGTTTTTTGTAAGAAATTTCACTACTGAAATACAGCCTGGTTGCATTGTTGATGATGATTGCCTAAAGTACAACTTAGCTCTGGTTGACCTTACAGCTAACAAACACAGGTGCTGTCCAATCATGTGGACGTTCACCTTTATATCGTATTTTCTGTTTATCTCTTGAAATAAATTAAATTAATATAAAATACACACAATACGGAATAATAAACACTCTAAAAAATATTCAAATATAAACTAGCTTCGTGAAGGTACTCGGATACAAGCAGATGATGTCTGTCGCTCTTCCATGTCTTCACGGTTAGCCACGGTGGCAAACATATGGTCCACAATTAAACTAGCATGTTCACAGATGTCGCCTGTAAACAGGCTTCAATTGGGCAGGTCAGCTGTTAAACACACGGCGCTAACATAGGCCGTCTCCCGTTGCGCCACATCAACTCATTCCATTTCAATGTATTTATGTATTCACACTGGGGAATAATTGTTTCCATTGCAACTGGTGATAACGGCCATAAACTGTGGTCAATAATGTTCATTCACAACATAAATCACAAGACGTGACTCTGCAAAGACAACGTGTGATAAACAAGAAAATCAATGCACTTTCACTGAATGACACGTGCCTTACTGAAAAAATAAAAATAAAAGAATAAGAAGTGAAACAAATTCCCCCAATGCTGCTACAGTAACCTGGCAAAGTGAAACCCAAATCTGTCTCTCACACATTAATCCAAGCAAACAGGAAAAACAGCACAACTGATGGTTTCACTTAAACACTTTGTTTTTCACAAGATGAAACAGATCATGGCATGTGAAAGTTCTGTAGCATTTCTGGGGTTTTTTTTGTAATTATAAGGTACTAACACTCTTGGTGCTCGCGAGTTCTGTAGCATTTCTGGGGTTTTTTTGTAATTGTAAAAATAATTGTTATTGTTTTTTTAAAAAAGCAGGTACTAACACTCTTGGTGCTCGCCTGTTCCCACAGACACGGGTGAAAGGCGTGTTGCAGCAGCGTGTTCACACCACAGATAGCCGGACTATTTAAAGGCCTTTTTGCTGCAGGCGTTTATTTACTTGTTTGGAGCCAGAGGCAAACAAGTAAACGACACCGATTTAATGATGCTTCTGAGCCATAAGCAGATGTCCACGTGTTCATTGACACACTCACATCGCCCTCATGCGGTGATTTATTGTTATTGCGGTAAAATATTTAACCAGCCAGTGGCCACACATTTCAATGGACTCAGTACAAACTGTTTGGACACGGGGGAGGAAGGGGGGGCAACTGTGGGACATAAGGTGCAGCAGGTTTGACTCTTAAATGAAGCACATGATTATTATAAGTGCTGATTAAAAAAAATAAAATAAAAACTTTCAGTCGGGTGGCGCTTTGGCCCAGAGGCAATGTCTCTGTCATTGGTGTGGAACCCCAGGGTTCACCTCCTGGGCAGGTTCGAATCCCGGTTAGGGCGGTTAATACCTTCCAGTGGACTCACCACCTGCAGGAAGGTTTGGGGGGTTGGTACGGTGCAGTGTGATTTGGGTGGCGACTGCTGCCACCGCGACCCGGCAACGGATAAGCGGATGAAAATGGATGGATGGATGGACTTTCAGTCGGACAGACAAAAATGAAATGAACTCCTCGAAAGGACATTCTAAACATAGTAGCAGGCTGAATATAATAATATAATAACTCACCCGACAGTGACGACGTCACTCCCTGGCTCACAGACTTTTGTTTGTTCTTGTTCTCGCACGTCAGTCTTCGCGTTTCGGAGAGAAAAAGTGAAACGGAAGTCATCCTAGGAAGTTTTAGCACTAGTGCTAATGACGTCACTACTTTATGTCCGTACTATATACTGTATATATATTTATTTATTTTATTTTTGTGTGGGCCAATATCATTTACATTTTATAATATAATATATATATATATATATAAACTAAATTTAAGATGGAGTCCGTGTCTGTCACAACACATGTTATTACTATTTTCTTTCTTTATCCTCCATTGATTTCTTCACTACTTCATTTTGTTCTTTAGGTTCCTCTTCAGATCCTGAAAGCATTTTTTGGCTTTTTATTTTTCTCTTCCTTGAAAAAGTGAAGCCCAAGCAGATGATATACAGCAGGAGGTCGTTATGTTACTCGGAAAACTTTGGAAAACTGGGGTAAATTTTTTTTTCATATTTGAAAATGTCACAAAACTTTGGCTGAAATGTTGTATGGTAATGAGTAATAGAGTTTAAAAAAAACCTGAACATTAGAAACATCATTTTTTTAAACATTTGTTGTTTGTCAATATGGACAACAACCATTTTCTTCGGCATTACATTAAAATAAATTTACTAAAACATAATAAGAGCATTATCTCATCATTTCACTCTCAAGCACATGACGCGTGGTGCAGAGAATCGAGGCACAGAAAAGATGGAGAAATGCTGACAAGTGGGATGTTACACCATTTTTTTTTTTTTTTTTACAATTTTAATGGTTGTGACACTTTTAAAAAAAAAATCAGCTGCAACATTTGCAGCAAAAATACCAAAAGATAATGACAGAACAACATCTGTTTGGAAAACTTTTAAGGTGGTGCTTTTTGAAGAGCGACGCAAACTCTATGTTTTCAGGATCTGAAAAGGTGAACATTTTGGGGTGGAAAAAAACCCCAATAACGGGAACAAATATTATGTTTTACTTTAAACTGGAGCTTCTAAGGGTGAAGGAAAGGACAAAGACGATTAATGTCCCGATATGAAATTTAAAGGGCGACATTATCTGAAGAGAGAGAGGGGAGACTTCTAATAACACTGAGTGTTTTAGAAACTCATTATGATGCGACATGTCATGCTGTGCCTCTCCGCTGACTGCATGACGGTGTCTAATTATTTCCTGCCTAGGGCTGTGCCACCTAATAAAACTGTGTGACACAGGCATGCTCCCCAATGAAATACTCCTCCATCAGTTTAGCTCATTTGCCTGTGACAACCTAGACTCAATACACTGAGGCATGATGTGCAAATGGTGACACTTCAGTTGATTCCTTGATTTACTAAATCAACTGCAGACCATACAGTAGTTACAGTGACTTTTCTACGCGGGATATTTTTATCCTGCTCCAGGAAGGCGTATTTCTGAGGACTCAGCACTATGCAGATGGAATTGCTAAGAAGTGACATTTTTGCAGTGTAGGATGGTGGATTGAAAGGAAAAGATCTCATGGGGAAAGATGGAGAAAAATAGATTTTTTTTCTTTGCTCCAATCACTTTTTTTTATATCTGTCTGTAGACTTTATTGACAATAAAAATGTGCCTATGGATTTTTAAAAGATAGATAGACGTGACAGTCACCCATAGAAATTTGACCACTGCTCCCAGCAGGAGAGAGAGAATCATTAGTGCCTTTCATGTCAAGTGTGCTGTCGTGACAGACGTCTTACTTCAGAAATTTATCGCTGCCACCAACCAGTATGTGGGCACTGCTGTTTTATACATGGAAGATAAAGAAGACTGCAGGGCCATGGGGTGAAAAAATACCACTGGCCTGGTTTGCCGGCATATTTCTCATAAATGTTTGAGGAAAAGGGATTTTCAGAACAGCTGCCAGTCAGTTTTATTGCTTAATAAAAGTGAAGGAGAAATGTCAATGCATCTGCCCTCTGCAACGACCACAGGCTTTGTATGGAAATCCTGATGAAGTTCATTTACCGTAAACATGCTATTTAATAAATATGGAGATTTACTTTGAGGTGCGGTAAGAGCTGGGGATATTAGATTTTTTTTTTTAAGAAAAAAACCATTGCTTTCTGAAACATCTGAGGTGAAGAGGGAATATCATTATACACTTCCTCCATCTTTAAACCCTCTTCACAACAGTCTTTAAGCAGGCAATTGTTCATCTGGAGAAGGATGAAGCAGACTCTGATGGCTGGGTTTCAATAAAGCTTCCAGTGTGAACAGATGGCTTTGATTAATGCACAGGCTTCAGGCTGCCTCCCCATTGATGCCTCCTATTTCCTAAGTGAGACATTTGTGTGCAAATGTATTGTTTGTCAAGTTATCACCAGCAACTTGGTAATTTGAGAGAGAGCTCAGCATACTGAAGAAACACAAGGTTTTGTAGGTTTTGATTGTTTTTTTCATAATTTTAATAATTATAAATGGCTCTTACTCTGTGGATGTCTGTGACTAAACTGTGACGTTTTTCAAATCTGTTGTTAGTCCTTTGCATAATAAAATGGCACCAGCCCTATGGGTGGCGCTGGTGGCCCTAGTTATGGTTAAGAATCACTGAGCTAGATAATTTATTCATTTATAATCGTGTTAGATTTGTTTGAAAATGTTTGGGAAAATGTGGTTTGTGTTTTACTATTTTTTCGAGTGGAAGGATGCAGCCCTCTGACTCTATTCTCCCTTTTTTTGTTGTTGTCTGGATGGTGAAACCTCAAAAAAGAAAAAAAAAGATTCAAATCAAAGAATTTTTATATATATATATACAGAACTAACAATTTAGGGCAGGCATGGGCAAACTAAGGTCCGGGGGCCAGATATGGCCCGTTCAGCTTTTTGAGCTTTTTGAGCCTGTCAAACTTTTCCAAATTATGCAATTTATTTATATTATCTATATATTATACTTCTGCCTTTTCCCTGCAATACCCACCTTTCCCCAATAGATAGCGTAGAAAATGATAAAACCATTTTAGCCCGTGAGTCAAAACGTTTGCCTACGCCTGATTTAGGGTATGTCAAAAACACTAAACCACGATCCCTACTCATTGAAAGTGAGTGGTGAAAAGATAAACCATACAAAAAGATTTCCAACACAAGTGAACATTTATTAACATGCAGTTCATCCACTGAACACCAGGACAAACATGCCTGTTGTTGTCGACTGTTCTTTGAACACACATCAAGGTCAACTGAACGTACCAGGTTGTATAAAATCATATAAAACTGAAAGTAATCATTCCTAACCAGACGTGACACCTGTTGCTATGACAACACGTCCTCACGGTGCCGAAACATCAAACCAAATGCATTAATATGAAAACAGCAGTCAATAACTTAGCCACTGAAATCTGCAGCTGCCGACAACAGATGTGACAAAATTAGTTTCCTGTCGTACCTAAGGTGGCCGTAACTGCTAATTATAAACCCGCCGTGAAATATAAAAAAAAAAAGTTTGAAGGAACAGCGAATGAGAATGAGTGGATGAAATTACAACAGCCTTACAAAGAACATATTCTCAAACCGTGTTTGCCATACAAAAGGTTGGCAGAAGCACTTGGCATGGTGTGGTTGACTCTTCACTAACAGATGTTAGGAGATAGCAGAGGATACACGTCAGCAGTAGATGGAGCTGTTTGATCTGGACTAATATGAAGTTTGGTTTTCTAACATGTCTTAATAAATATATATATATATACATATCCATGAGCATAACCTAGTTTATCATCAGGTTATATGTTAACAGGAAAAGACAATATCCCATCAGGAATAGGGACAAAAAGGTAGTACTTACTAAAATACTTACAGGTGCTATAATATTAAATAACGGACTTTACGTTGCTGTTTGAAACACAATAAAATTTGCCATTGAAGTGTACAGTGTTGTTACTTTGAGTTTACACGAAAAACTCTCACTATACATACATACATATATAGTTTATGTTTATTTTTATAAACATATTTGTTTCATGGCTGCGGGTCAGCAAAGGCGGTGATTAAAACATAAACTTCCTGCTCCAAGTAGAAGCAGCTGCATTTGTAGCACAGCAGCAAAGTATCACATAATCAGAGACACACCGAGTTAAAGACAGACATTGAAATACAGTGTGTAAGTGTGTATGAGAGAAGGGGAACTCTAATATACTGTGATATATAATACAGAGAAGAATATTTGTACACTTTCAATATACTTTCACTACAGAAAGTATATTGCCATGGCAACCCCTGATTTAGGGAAAGGCCATAAGTGATTCATCTTACGTTTAAAGCAGTATTTACTAAACTTTTTTGAGCCACGGCACATATTTCATATTGGAAAATTCCCATGGTGCATCACCAAGCAAAGAATTTGACAAAAAACGTTTGTAAAGAACGATCTTCTCGTTTCAATTTGCTCAAAATTTACGCTTAGGGCGAAACCTGGGCTTGTTTCGTTAAAAATAATCCTTATATAATTGCAGGAATTGAAGAAAGACACCAACTAAGATCCTTTAGACCTCTGAGATCTATCCTCATGAGAGGATAGTGAGGACCACGCTGCCCTTGGTCTTCTTGAGTACGTCCACAGCTTCGGCGTGAGTAGCGCCCTCCAGACAGTGTCCGTTCACAGCAATAATCTGATCCCCGCGCCTCAGCCTGCCATCTGCTACTGCTGCCCCCTGCAGAGAACAAACAGGGGTTCATCAGCATGCAGCATCACAGATCGAGACCGACATGAAAACAGATCTTCTCTGTACATCACAAAAACCGTATTCATTTGATCCTATTTAAATCCTATAAATAATTTAATGTTAGTGTCGTAAATATTCCAACCACAGAGAAATAAACGAAGAACAAATGTATGACATCAACCATCTGACCTTGTTGAAGACACTTTTGATGTAGATGGGCAGGTCTCCATGAGGACTGCCAAACCCTCCCACGATGCTGAAGCCCAGGCCTGAGGAGTCCTTCTCCAGGGTGATGGTCTTGTACATACGAGCGCTGTGAGAACATTAGTCAGAGGGATGTTGGTATGTAATATGTAGCTATGGATGCTACGTACTACATAGTCCCTGTGTTTGTGAAACGAATGGCATTAACATCTCAATCCTCACCAGGTGCACATTTAGGGAGATTATAGTATTTTCTTCTATTCCTTACTGAAGAATTGCATCTATTTATTGATTATTATTGTGGATTTTGTTCAGGTACTCTTTCCTCAGGTACTTCAGGTTTCAGATTAGGTAGACTAGACAGTCAAAATTGACCACAGGTATAAATATGAGCATGAATTATTGTTGTCTCCATATATAGTCAAAATGGACCACTGAACTCAGGACCATAATTTGCTAAGGTTTTCATTGGTCCATCAATTTTCCTCAACTTTAATGCAGTTGTAGTTTTTGTGAATATATTAATTAGAATTGACCAATGGCCATTGTGTGTAAGACATACATAGACATAGATATTATTGCCACCTTCCATTGCTGTTGTCCAGACGTCTGTCCACAGAATGTCGTCGCTCGCTGAATTAACCAGCAGGAAGTAAAAGTGAGAAAACGAGTTCTTACCAGATGTTGTTGTGAAAACACGGCAGGCTGCTGGACTTTTCTAACGACCCTGTCTGGACGTCACTGTTGTCCTGTGTGCGTCCAACAGAACCTGCTGTCACCTGATGTAAAGATTTGGATGATTTGAGAAATATTTACTTCATATATTTTGTTATGTAATTTGTTATGTATAAAATCATTTCTAATATGAATAGAGTTTGAGACCACAGTATATGAACATCATCAACAATCCATCATTTTCTATGGAAACATGACAATTAAGGGGAAATCTTTTCTTATACATTGCTAAAAATGACTGAAGAAAAGAGTTCAACAGTTCCAGGTCTGCTGCTCGATCCTACTACAGGACCTGCTGCTGATATCTGGTGGTGACATAGTGCCTTTCAGGCTGCATAGATTAATGGCTGTGCGTCTCCCTGTGGCATTACCTTCAGAGTGATGGTTCCAGTGACATTCTTCAGCAAGGCTTTGGCATCGACATGAGTCATTCCCTCGGTGGACACATCATTGATACTGAGGAGCTTGTCTCCCGCCTGATGGACATATTGACTCAGATTAAACCTCCTGGAGTTCATTCCAGCTTTAAGTGCAAGTTCACACAACAGTGGTCCACATGTTTTATCTTTTACGCTGCTACAGTCATTCTGGTATCCCAGATTTATTAGGCATACATTTCATAGGGAAATACTTTGATTTCAGTCCTTGAGGAGACACTGAAGTGAAGTTCTACAAGAAAGGGAATCTGTCGGAAACAAAACGTCCAGAAGTGTTTAGACATAAAAAGAGGATTCAAAGAGAAATAGCTTGTCAATTCCTTTTAAATTAGTCTTAGATCTTTTTTGATTATTCAATTTTAATTGTACAAACACTGGAGATGGTGCAGGGCTTCATGAAGGAATACATGTTGATTCTGGTATCCCAGATTTATTAGGCATGAAGGAATACATGTTCCCCATGTTACACACACATACACACACACTCCATGTCATTAATCACCTGTAATTGCTTTGTTTTGGCTGCCAGTCCGTTGGTATGTAGAGCATCGATAAAGAGAGGCACGTTGCCATGGGGACAGCCCACTCCTCCTGCTACACTTATGCCAAGAGAGTCACTTTGACCCTGGGGTATGAGACACAGAAAAAGCAAGTGGAATAAAAATGAAAAAAATCCAATAATATACATAACTGCATCAAAATGTAATTTAACAACTGAATATTTGGTCATGATTAGATCCACTACCTTCTGTATCGTAACAACTCTGATCTCAGGAAAGTCTTGAAATGCTGTAAAAGGATCATTGTATTCATGTTAACGTCACTTAAAACAAACTATCACCTTAAAATAACTTCTACCTTCGTAAAACATTTTAAACTCTAACCCTTTTCACCTGCTTTCAATATAAAAGCTGCTTACTATAGCTGCCTGTTTTGTTGTCACTTGTCTCCCTCTGGTGGCACAGCGAAGCATCACATCCGCTTGAGGGTGTCAAGTTGGACCAATTGGAGCCTTCGCTCTGTATAAAAAAAACAAAAACAAATCAAATGTGTGTTATACAGCCACGGATTACTGTGAGATCCATTTATAAAGCTTTATTTAAAAACCAACTTTTTACCTGGCTCCAAGGTGAGTACTGCAGTCCGGCTTTGAACCGAGCCACCTCCAGGTGAACAGCCCCACTGGAACTCTACGAGAAAGTCACACATCACTGAGAGGACTGGTGATTAGCAGGAAAATTCACAGCTCGTTTTTAACGACACGAGATGAATTAACGAACTTTTCACCAGATACCTGCAGCAGCTTCTGCGCCTGCTCCAGTGATGCCGCCCGGGCATCCACTCCGTTGATTGACACAATCTGGTCACCGAGCAACAGCCTGCCATCTGAATCTGCCACACCTCCTCTGATGATGTCTGACACGAAGATGCCCGTGTCATTACTGCCGGGAGAGAGCACAGGTCAGAATGCTGCGCCTGAACCAGGCTTAGAAAATGAATTACCTGCCAACCAACACCCTCCTCCCCCGTCTCCCCTCCTCATTCCCACCTTCAGCCTGCTGATTTGCATAATGTCACACTTGTTTGTGCAAATACGTGAAGCTGCATAAAAATACCAACCCCAGCTCTTTGGCGTGTCCTTGCTGCAGTGATACCAAAAGTCTCAGCTCTATAATCTTTATGGTGATAAGGTATTTTAAGGAGGTGAGATTTTATTACCTCACATCTTTTATTTATATCACATTTCTTTTTATTTTATTTTACAATGATACCTCCTTTTTTTTTAACAGAGTGACCTTTACCTAGGTAAATTCCTCCAGGTTTCAAAAAATGAACAAAATAAAACGCTCTGACAAATAGAGCTGTACAATTTGTAGCCTAGACTATTTAAAACCGTAAATAATCAATGCAACAGTCTCAGTCCTCCAGGTGATTTAAAGTTAATTTGGAAACAGCCAAGTGGACCGTCCTGGATGTGGTACTACACCAGCCTGCAGGCACCGTCACTCAACAGAGGAGGGAGCTCTTGGGACACCAGGTTTTAGCGTCGACAATGTTCAATGAGCTGAATACCAAACAACCCAGACAGACTGTTAGGGCACACAGCCAGCTGTGTCCCCCAGGTTGATACCAACGACCTGTGTGACTCACACACACCCCTTTCACACCTTGACCCCTGGTGTACACCACATTCAGCCGGTGGGTCAGAGGGTGGTCTCCTCTTTTGTTTTGCTATAATGAGTGTAGCTCAGCTCCTCGGAGGCTGAAGAAGAAACCACGACAGTCCAGTTGAACCCTGACTGCAGACATGTTAAAAGGAAACCACGACAGTCCAGTTGAACCCTGCCTCGACTGCTGTGTGACTGCAGACATGTTAAAAGTTCCTGTGCTGGTGTCAGTGGTGTCAGTGGTGTCAGTGGTCAGTACTGTATAAAGGTATAACTCAGTAACTGTATGCATTTCATTTCTCGCCTTCTTTCTCGTTTATATTCAGTGAAAGCAGTTGCCAAGTGCTGTATTTTTACTTATTTCTATTTTAAAACACTATCATCATCATCAAACTTCTCCACTGAGTACCAGCCAGGCACATTCCCAGTTCTCAGCTGCACGAGGCTACGAAAGCCCTGAGTAATTTAATCAATTTAAATTCTATTTATTTTCTCTGCTATTTAAACATTTTGTCTACCCCCCCAGAAAAATTAAAATTTTCACAGATGTATATATATTAGTGCCGTGGATTTAACCACTGAGATTTTTTTTTCTCTACCTCTTTTCCACAATACTGAACCCCAGCCCTTCTCTGGGATGAGGTTGGAGCTCCACGCTGAAGACATCCCACAGGTCCTCCTCCCTGAAGGCCTCCTGGTACCTGAAGACCCGCAGGGAGACACGTTGGGTCGTGAGCCGCAGCACGCCGATGGCTTCATCGTGAGTAGCCTGGCGCAGGTCAATGCCGTTGACCTGGGGAACATTGAGAGATGACAGAGCGTAGTAGTGTGACTGGATGAAGAGCTGAGGAAGAGTAAGCATTTCTTAAGAACAAAAAAAAATGTAATATTATTTTTCTTTCTTTTTTCAGTGTTCAGATGTTGGTTGATGTTTTTACATTATATTAAATATTAAAAACCATATTTGTAATTATTAAAAAACACAACAATCTTATAATATGCTACATATATGTATGTATATATATACTGTAAATATATGTGTATATAGGTATGTATATACATATATATATATAATACCTCTAATATGTGGTCTCCAGCTTGCAGCCTTCCATCCATCTGAGCTGCTCCCCCATCGTTTACTTCATGGATTACTACTGCCCCCTGGTGGAAAACAACAGAAAACGCTGTACTCTACAGACTTAAAGAGCACAATTACATGAACCAACCAACCAAAAAGGGAAATGACTTATTTAAATGTCATTGCAAATCTGTTGCATGTTAGATTACCAAGTTTAGCATTAAATGCTGTTTTGATTCAATTTAACGTGTCAATCATCCAAGGACATTTGCTTTTTGATTAATGAAACCCAAACCCTTTAATGCAAATGTTAATGATCAATTATTGAAGAATACCAGCAGAGTGTCACATCCTCCTATGATGCTGAGGCCCAGGCCGACACTTCCTTTGACGATCTCTATCGTAGTTTCCCTGCCAGCTACAACAGGGCAACTCTTGGGGTCAGAGGTCAGGGGTGAGGATCCCAGCCAATCATTGTGCCCAGTAGGGGACGTCTGTGTTGCAGTGAAGAATGAAGACGAGGAGGAAACCGGGTGAGTGAGGGAGGATGTAGGAGACTGAGAGCAGGGACATGACAGAGATTTTGGAAGAGACGGAGTAAAGAAGAGGAGACTCTGAGATCTGCTGACGGAGAGCTTGACATTGACCTGCTGATCTAGGATCAACTTGGACACCTGGACAGAAAAACAACAAGTCGGTCATGAATCATCACAGGATCCTTGTGTGATGTCCTTGAAGTGGGTGCTGTGTGTGGGTATCTATACCTTTTCTACTGACATCCCTGACACAGGTTCTTCACCCACTGCTATGATTCTGTCTCCACTCTGTATTCTTCCGTCCTGCATTCAGACAGAAATAATAATAAAAGAGAATGGACGAGAAGACAATAACGAACTGTCACCGTCCTACATTGACATCTACTGGATTTACTTGGTAATTAAAGTTGAATGAACTCTTTTTTTTTACTTTACCACTTTTTTATTGTGACACCTACTTGTTAAAACAAATAAAATGAGAAAAAGACATCTTCACACCTTACTAGTGGTGCTGTTCTGGATAATGGACCTCACCACCACGCCATCATTAAAATCTCCTTTGGCCAGACAGAGACCAAGACCCACCTGATCCTGGGGAAGATTGAGGCAAAAAAGTGAGAAAAAAAAAGTAAAACAAAAATTTATTTTACATCTTGCAAAGAATTTGTAAAATTACGGGGGATACACGCTGTTTCCACTACTATAAAATTCTGCTAGAACACAGCTGGTTGCTCAACCAGTGGCACCTTAAGATGCAAATACAGAATATACTGAAGGTGCTGTACCTGTGGAAGAATAATATGATGCAAGTCTTTTGATAAACCGTCCTGATCGGCTGGGTGCATGTGGGAGTCGACTGTGTCTTCACACACTGTTCTGGATCCATGGGCATTTTGCATCAGAGTTTCTTTACTCCTGTTGTTGCACAGTTAGACAGAAGACGCCAACTTTGGCTTTAGGTAAGAAGTTTCAGAGAAGCTCAGGAAAGTTAGGACTGTTATTACCTGATGAGAACGATCTTGACTTTGGCCGGAGCTTTGTCGATGATGGAGGAGGCAGTTTGGTGACTACGACCGTGCAGGTTCTGACCATTGATCTGGGGGGAAGAAAAATTCACTCTTAATAGAACAAAAATGTGCTTCAGTCCAGGGGTTCCTGGACTTTTCCTACTTTCATTCATTTATTAATAATTATTACATTTGTTTTGCAGAAGAAAATTATTAACAAATGTGTTTTCAGC